GGCAATAATAAAGTAGCATCCCCAACTCACGATAATTGGCCAATATTAAGGTAAATTGGCAATAATGAAGTAACATTCCCAACTCTGAATAAATTGGTAATACTAGCATCACCAACTCAAAGTAAGTTGGCAATACTAGCATCACCAACTCAAGGTAAATTGGCAATAGTAAAGTATCATCCCCAACTCACGATAATTTGCCAATATTAAGTTAAATTGGCAATAGTAAAGGAGCATGCCAAACTGAATGTAAATTGGCAAGACTAGCATCTCCAACTCAAGGTAACTTGACAATAATGAAGTAATATTCCCAACTCTGAATAAAATGGCAATACTAGCTGTTGAACTGGTTGATTTGCATATGTAATACTGTATGTCAATCTAGGCTACAGTAATTCACGCAAGTTGTAATTGTTATTTGGTATAATTATAGTCCTTGTATACTTTTATCAGGCAGATAATCAAAGAGTCGGTGGCCATGTTTATGTTCATTACCACAGTCAGAATGCACTATTTCTATATGCAACATAATGTACTAAGGTTACAGTGCCAACTATCACAGTTGCGACAAATAAAAATGGATGGTCAAAATATCTAGCAACTGTCTTTCTGTTTGGTCTTTGTGCTATTTTGTAATGGGGTAACTACTTGCTTACTTCCCAGGGTCATTGTTATGTATATTTTATAAACAATGACAATTGTTCAGCTGGTTGATGTATGTGAGTGCATAGTTGCCACTAAAACTTGATCGGCAAGTCACTCATCTGGAACCCCTTGTGGAAAACACTGCACTGTGTGAGTGCTAAGTAAATATAATGGCAGGAGTAAGGTTGCTTCTCTATTTTAGCTACTTTACTGGAAAGTTGATTTTGTAAAATTAAAAACAAAAGCATTGGTATTCTGACCATAAGAGGGCAGTTTTTGATTTATTACTAGAGTTCTGGGGACAGCATTCAGCATTGATTTGAATGGATTTTGCTACAAATATCTTGGCAGGTTAATGATTTTTTAATAAACTTTATTTTTCTATTTAAGTTTTAGTACCAAAATCCTAAAATTTACATTGTTCACCTTGTTCGTCTAAAATTAGTAAATTTGGTATGTCTTTATTATTGCAGATCAACTACGCGAGGACACACCAGTTGGGACTAGTTTTCTCCGTGTTGCGGCTCAGGATGCTGATACTGGTTACAATGCTGAAATTTCATATTCCTTGTCTGATGAGGAATACTTTAGTGTAAACAATGCTACAGGCTGGGTTTATGTCAAGAATGCTATATATCTATCTCAGGTGAGACTCGCACATTCTACTGTTTTGGAAATTTCCCAAAAGTGGGTGCATGGCTGGGCACCAAGTTGGACAAGTACAGTACTGAGTGAGAGCTGTCTTCAACAAAACTAGTTGCAAATTGTCTATTTTGAATCGTATACAGAGTAACTTACAGTGCAGTTTAATATCAAATTGTTTTACATTATCTTTTTTATTATATTCAACAGCTGCCTTTCTTGACTGTCGGTGTATATGGTCTGCTTTTGTAGAGGCCATGATACACATATACAACTTTTGTTGACAACATTTTTTTGACCCGTGTGTCATGCAATGCCTGCAAAGTTGTTGATTGAAATGGAAAAATGGTCTATTCCTTGTCACAACAAGTTGCAGTTGTTGATGGTAATCAATATGCATCATGCATGCAACATTTGTTGTCAATAAAAGTTGCAACTTTTGTTGCTACCAATGTTGATCATACATCATGCAATGTTGCAAGTTGACCTG